AAGTCAGTGTGAACACTTTTGCTGGTTAACGAGACGGTCATCAGCCCCATCAATTATAACAGGAAACAGAACTTTAGCATAACCATAGATAAAGACGAGCATAACTAGTACTAAGGAATAACATCTCGTATCTCGACTATAGAATCTCTCGAGTGAATCAGGAATTTTCTGAAGGTTATATATTATTCAACGAGACGATCGAGATATCTTTCGGCATCCACCTCAAACAACCCAGAGATTATTTCGATTGTAGTAATCTGTGGGACATGTAACGGGAACGGTTTTGGCCATCCAACTCTTGTAGTGTAAAGATACTTTCAGCGAATTGTCAAGAATAATCAATTAGTAACTAATAATATTAAATTAGTAGTAATGAAATATTCGATTATAGAAATAAATAGAATAAAATTTAGGTGACCGATCGAAGTTCGTCATGGAACAATGTCGCTGATGATCACGATCAGGCGCTATCAGCAGCATCAAGCAACACTACTTAATCTTTGACTTGTGCTGAAGTCTCATGATAATAAAAAAAATGGTGTGCGTCACGGGACGCTCGACAGAAGTGATAACTTCATAAATTAATAGAAACCATAAAATATTGAACTTGTTTAACGGATGATGGCAATAAGTCTAATAATTTATCAATGAATCAGGAATAGGTAAAATTTAATTTAATTTCCTTTTGAATGTAAAATATCTTTTATTTGCAACATTTAACATCCTTTAACGAGATGTTGTTCATATTGCTCTTCTTGGGTTTGTGTAAACTCTTCTTCTTGATTTTCTGTATTTTTTAGTCTTTATTTCTTATTTGCTTTGTATAACCTTTGACGTTTAGCACTAGTTCGCGGTTGATGAAAGCTACTTTGAGTTGATCTATTACTTAATGCTCCTTTTGTAGCACGAAATCGTTTTTGGCGTTCAGCATTACTAAATACTTTTCGCATTGTAGCACGTTTTTGTGAGTGCTCTTGTGTATGTTATTCATAAACGTCTGCTACAACTTGTATCTGAATAGGACTAAAAATCAATTAATTTTGGTGATTGGAAGACGTTCTATCTGTTTAAAATAGACGGTAAAACG